TCTATATTTTGTATGCGTTACAAATCGACGCCCTAGTTCAAAAAATAAATAAACAATTYAAAAACATCGGGTTTTCGGGTATAATGTGTTTCTATTATCTTGATTTTCTATGGAACGTAAATTATGACATTAAAAATCTCGTGGACAATAATTTGACTATATTTTATCACGTTATTGAACTTAAATYGTTAAAAGATTTTGTATGTGATAGTACATAACATGAATTTGTTTTAAAACCCTAATTTTTTCATTTTAGAACTTGGCCAACTGGGGCGTCGATATTATCTACACAAAAGGTATTATATTACATATACTTGGTTAATATAACTTTGGCGATTAATTATAAGTATAGTACCAGTTACTATAGTAAAATAATAAAATATATTAAATATAATCGGACGAATCGAAAAGCAACGTAGTTAACGTGCGTGAAGTTGCCCCCCTCATGTAATCGAATATACACCGAACATATACAAAAAATTTGCAACTCAATACTTTCATTACAATTAATTTCTGTTTAATTGTGGGGGGGGGGCAACTTCACGTAGCCGGTTCGAAACCGGTATCTAAATTGTCCGGTTGATTTGCAACAATTTGCAACCATGGTCTTATAATTTGCAACTCAATACATTATCCGCAATAATAAAAACCAAGTCCAAAGTCGAAATACAATAAATTTACATGAGGGGTTAACTTCATCAAGCCCCCCCCCACCTCCCCCACATCAATAATAATAATGATTAACAAGGAATTCTGAAATTAATAAAAATAATTTATAACAACAAATCATGGTTACAAATTTAGAATTCTTATATAAACCAAACTATATTACCAAACTTTAAGGTAAGAACATTATCTGTGTTCTCTCGTTGGTTTTTTACGATATTTTAATTTTTTAATGAGTTATGAGCATGTTAAGTGTGAATATTTGAATATTCACATAACTCATTTAAAAATTTAAACATCGTAAAAAACCAACGAGATAACACAGATAATGTTCTTACCTTAAAGTTTGGTAATGGGTCAATTCACTGTAATATCAAAATTAACAGCACACAATTGAAACTAGTGAACGAAAATTTGCCGTACGTGTAGTACGTATGAAAGACGGAGAAAACACATGCGGGCGAGACGTACTCCTRAGGCTCGAGCCACACGATGCGATATTAGCGCATGCGGCTATAGCTTTCGTTGTTTTTATATGGACCATATAGTTTTAAATGTAATAGGTTGTATAATAGGTCGTATGTGGACGAGTTTCAGAAGCACTTCAATCTGTTATCTATATAAATCGCATGGAATAGAATAGATGTAATGCATTTAAATTATAAAATACACATGACCATATTTTTTACAATAATAATTAGAAATTATTGAAAAAATATTGTTGCTTGTAAAATATCAGGTATAAAACATTGGAAATTGTTGTGCAGTAAAGTAGGTACTGAGTGTAAGGTGTAACTCATTATTGAGTAATTGGATGTTTTCAATACTTAAATTCGAATTCAATGATATTATAATAAAAATATAAAATTGTAGAACATAAACGATTAGAGAAGATGGTAAAGTGACTATATA